CGTTAACTTGGTGTGTCGGTATGTACGTATGTCTGTTTGTATGTGTGTATGTTGTGTATGTGACAGTCTCGTTGGTTTGCGAAGGACTTCCGACAGGATCAGTCGGATCGTCCAGCAGATGCTGGGATCCCCTACTTTCCAAGTACTAGAATTGGGAATTTTTCATTTCTGTGAATTCTTGATTCAACATTGGCAACAAAATGCTTACTTATTGAATCACTTGACCAGCCGAAGTATGGAGAAAAATTCAAACTTGAATCTTGGTGACAGGTAACATAGAGACATTTCCTTGAGTGTTGTTTCAATATTCAATTGAATTAATATTCAAAGAAATTAAATTCTCACTGGATTTTGGAAGGAGGAAGACCAAAACCCCATAAATAGAGGAAATTGTAAGAAGGGATGACAAAAGGTAGGAAAAATGAGCAACTCATCGAAAAGGTTGCTCAATGCTTTCCAAGGGTTTAGAATAAGAACGCAGTAAACTCAATGGCTTCGGTGCAACGGGCAGAACAAAGGAAGCGATAAACTTAGGTCATTTCAGCACATGCAGTGGTGTAGGTGACCAAACAAGCAGAGCGCTGTGCCCATAACTCAATCGCACAACGTGCAGCATGCATTCATACCTTCTTATCAAAATTCGCATGCCCACGAGTAGAGGCTAATCGTCGTCTCCGAATCACGACGAATCCAACAACTAGTACAGCAAAGGCTAGCGAAACCAAGATACCGGTAGCTCCAGGAGCCTCTGACGCTGCGCGAAACGCACCCGAGAATGAAGAGCCATGCGTGGGCAAAGTAGCTCCATCGTGTTGAATCTGAAACGAAGCCGTAAAAGGCAAGTGTGAAATATTGAGTCGCAAAGCGTAGAAACCCTTTCCCCAACACGAGAGCGGACGAACAGATTATGATCAATTGGCATACCCTAAATATCCAAAGAGTCGGTTGTCCCTGAGCAATGTCGCCAACAAATATGTTGTGACCGTCCGGCGAAACACGAAGTACATGTGGCTGACCAAATGGACGGCTGGTTGGAGCAAACCCAAACTCGACCAATCCAGTGCCAGCGCGACCGACAAATACATAGATACCATTCTGAAAATGAAATATTTATATTTTCCAAAACTGATTTAGGCCGATGTCAGACTTTGCGAATCGCGCGATTCGCTACTAGCGATTCGATTCGCTAGCGTCCGCGGTCGCGTTGCGGTACCAGCCAATTGAGTGATTCACTGGCCGCGACGCGACCGCAGACGCTAGCGAATCGCGCGATTCGCAAAGTCTGACATCGGCCTTAAAGGGACATTCATTTCTTGCTGAAAAATCCTTTTTTAAATGAAGGCAAGCGGAAAAATCAAAATCTACCATGAACATCACAACAAAACCGCAAGAGATTTGAATGCTGTGTATGAAACTTACAGTGCTACCACTTGCACGCCCGGGCACCATATAGACGTATTCATCTTGAGCATCGACGGAATAAATATTTGAGAAAAGGCTGAACAAAATCGAGTAAAACACAGTACATGAACACTAAGAGAAATCCATATCAATAAAAAAAGCTGACCTTGAAGCCCACTCCATGATGAAGTCACCGTGAATTGACAACTCCTGAACTCGGCCATTTTCTCGATCTGCTACCAATAGATGACCACCGGCTGGTGTGCTCACAATGTCATGTGGTAAATTGAACTGTGAAGGGTCATTACCAGGTAGTCCAAACTCGCTCTGAAGGTCTCGTTTTTTGCAAAGATAATATTGGTTGAATATGATTGATTTCAAATTCCATGTGTCACTTCAAAAATGCATTACCTTTCTGCTACCAGTATCGCTATCCAACTGTACAATTCGGTTATTGCAGTAACCGTCGGCAACAAAAACACCTTCATCGGTCAAAACTATACCAGCCGGCTTGCAAAAATGATTTTTATCACTGCCTGGTACATGTCTCTGCCCAACTTCCCATACCAGTTTGAGTTCTGAAAAGGATTATATAAGAGTGAATAATAAGTAATAAGAAAAAATAATGGAATTTTAGAAAGAAGCAACGAGAATCGATGAGTTCTCGAATTGAGGGTAAAGATGTACATGTTTAGATGAGAAGATTAACCCTGACCACGGCACCTCGATCTCTGATCAATACTGCATAGCAGCGCAAACCACGAGTAAGCACTGCTCGGCTAGATAGGAGGAAAAGGGGTATTTGGGATTTTTTGCAGGATGTTAGATAAGAACGAGGGAATAGGTGCGGAACAAAATGGCAGCATGAAACGTAAAACTGGCCATTAGTTGTGACGTTGTGGCATTTTCTATTCCCTTCTCCGCTCGATGGCACTTGCGGATGAATTTTGGTGGTCTAGAAGCTGAGCGCGAACAGATCGGCCAGATTGGACCGGTTTAATGACAATTCATACCCACCCCCGACCATGAGAAGATGGGGAAGGGATTCCTGGCCACCGGGGAGGGGTTGTCTAAAATGGTCGTATGCGCGGCCGAATCTTGCGCCCAGCGAATGTCTCCCACTGCTGCATAACCCGTAGTTAAGGAGCCCCTAATGTACCACCAATGGTAATTTAAGCTAATCTTCTAGCAAAACCTGAAAGCAAGATACGCCCTTCGCACACTCCTGCATCCCCAAAACCATGCAAAAGAAAGGCTCTCCCACTTTCTTCACGATTTGGGGCGCGGCCGCGGTGAGTTGATAGTGCCCGCGAACTGTGCTGATGGAGTGTTTTCAAACCTACCCCTCGCACGACTCAGCGGGCACTACTAACTCGTCCGCGCTCGCCGTGGCCGCGCCCCAAAATCGTGAAGAAGGTGAGGGAGCTAAAAGAAAACTTCATGATCTCCCAATAGCTCCGGACTCAATTCGAATCAATATCCCTCACCCCAGGCGGTTAGCATCCCCTGATATCCTGGTAGAAATTTTTGAAGCACCAGTACTCTCTGCGTCTTAACAGCTCACTTCATTAGAAAGCTGATACAACCTACCTGTTTCGAATAACTCAGTTCAAAATTTCCGTTACACACACAGCATTTAGTGCGAACGAAAGGCACAACCTTGAGTGATAGGTGTGAAAGGCAGCGATAATACACAAAACCTTCGAACAACATGATTTTCTTTCCCCCGCCCAGCCCAATTCCAGTCAGAAGAACATCGTCGAATAAACAGACTAAATTATGCGAAACGTCCCACCATTTCCATTTATTTGTTCCCATTTGCGCTGGCAGGTATGTGGCGCGCAACATCCGTAGTGATACGGAATCGCGTCTTTGCCAAAATGGGAATACCATGGCAGGAAGATGAGAGACCGATTGAATAGAGAGCTGTGACGAAATCTCAATGTGTTGAAACGTACTAACAATAACACCTACTTGTTTTTTCCCGCGAAGTTTGTTCACCATGTGGGCTTTATTCTCGTTGAAAGCAGCGATCACAATTACATCGTCATTTATAGGTGTTTTATCCAGGAGCACATTATACTGGTCGAAAGTGCTAAAAAAATCGTTACTGTTTCGTTTAGAGGAATGTACAAAAGGACCAGATTTTTTCTCAAATGAGCTGTAGCGTTTTGTGCGCTCGATGTTTTCCAGTCAGCGATGGAATACACTGGACGTTTTCCTCCGATAAATGGTCAAACCAGTGCCAAGCTTGACCGAGTTCTTAGCACGCGTCGACATCAGTAATGAGCACCCATCTGCGAACGACTCCGAACGACCTACTAAAAATAGTGCATAAAAATACGTCCACCCCTTTGTCAATCTCAGGAATGTGACATACCACGACGAGTAGTATTCATTACAGTGTAATGACACTTTATCACTGATGTCTGCAACGCCTGGCGCGGAACCCCACTTCCCATATCGTTTCAGCTGCAGCACTGTGGGCTTCTGACATCGAGGGCGCTGACACAAGGCAAAACACTTGTTTTGGTGACGGTCAGCAATGCGGATAGCGAAGAGACTGACAGGACGAACCTATAGTGGGTGCGCTGCTACATCTTTCGAATGGCAATGAGGTTGCTGGCACCTTACTAACATGTACGCCCTCCTACCAGTAGTACCAAAAAGACTATGTTTACATCTAGATAACATTCTTGCGCTAGGGCAGGTGTCATAGTTTGCGGAATTGAGAGGAGACGCACGTGATAAGAGAGAACCGAGCGAACAGCAGGAAGTGTTACATGGGGAGAGGAATACGCACTGGAGGAATACTGCGAAACATGGACGAAACGCGATAAATCTAGTGCGCGACTCTAGATAACCGCCGAGGCTTCCTCCTGTCAAGGCAAGCAAAGGTTATACGCTGAAGGGAGCTGCATCTGTTAGCAGTCTGATGATATAAGTTTTTAATTTGGTTTTTCGGCACTTCTTCTAAGTCGCGCTTTCGACGCGCTAAGTCTATTGGATTTCACTATAGTTCTCAGACTCTGACATCCTGCACAGAAAAAGATGAATTTTTTATTGAAATAGGCGAGAAAAAGTCGATGTCGACAGTCGACCATGTCTTGAACTCTGTACAGAGGATAGGACTCTTACAAAGGTTGGAGTGACTACAACATATGTCTTACAATAGGTTTTTTTTTCACTTCACAGTCTAACCAGCACTTAGGTTACGGTAGCTACGTTATGGCAAATACTCACAGTAAGAGATGCTGCTCTATTAGCGGCCTGTTCGGCCGAGGGTAAGTAATAGGCACTATGCAACTAGCAACATCAAAATCTCAAAATCGCTGTACATATAACCTCGCTGGTACTCTTATTCCGAATAAGACATTCATCTCGGAGTTGGTCCATAGTTAATTCGAAACCGAATAGGGCAAGGCGCAGCGCAATACTACTAAGAATGAGCATAAGGATTTCGTGATCCAACACCGTACATCGACTAGGGTGAAACATTTTTGTTCCAAAATGGCAAATAGGGCACCAAATGACGCCAACACCAAAATAAACCAGGGCATCTAACTGCCTTACAAGCGATGTCCCAGCAAAATTATTTGAAGAATCTGTGGTTGTAATAGTTTAGAATTTCTATGCAATACTGGGAATAAGTTGTAGGTGGGAAAAGGAAAGCAGTTCCCGACGCCTTCCCTCGTCTGCGCCTTATAGCTAATTATAAGATAATATCTATGATGCGTTCAAATACGGAAGCGCGCACATGTTCTTTAACAACACACTAAGGTGGCGTCAAGCAGAATTCTCTTGGAACTAAACTCGTCTCTAGTTCTTTGATTTTTCCGACGGGGAGAACTCTCTATACCCGGCTGGCCGCGGCATGTTTCACTAACAACTTCCGCCGACCCTTTCGGGAGCACTTCAAAATGGCCATCCTCGAAGAACTTAAAGGCAAGATCAAGCCGAACTGATGATGCTATTCTACTCAAAGTTATGTAGAGGGGTGGGAGGTGGACCGCCAGTGGAGAAAAAAGGAAAAAAAAATTCGTGAAATACACAGGAAATACGAGCCTTTTGCTCTACGTTGCGGAGAAGTTCAAAAGGCCGGCAGGGAGATGAGAGATAATGTGAGCGCGGAGAGCGGTAGAGAAATCCGAGAAGAGAGAGCATAGCAGATCAGCATTGCGACGCAGACAAAATATCGAGCGGTGGGCGGAGCGTGTCGCAACAGGTGGAGCGTGTCAAAGTCCTTGGCCCCTAGCGCCTTAGTGACGCATTTGGATGCGGAACTTGGCGAGTCGCCTGCAGTTGCGTCCCATGCACTTCTAGCCACTTAAGGGCTTATAACAATTTCGCTTTCGAATACGAATCCTTCTTGACCCGAACTTTGCTAATGAAAAAAAAATGCGGCAAAGCAAGGAGCAAGGTCTATGCAATCTTCGAATGAGAATTTCTCATCTATTATTGAAATTACTCATGAAATAAAGCTTGTTCCCCAGTGCTTAAACTGTCAAGTAATTACCCTCTGCGCACTCTGGAGTTTCGCTTAGTCACGACTCTGAAATAATTTCCTTCGGAATACGAATCTTCTTCAAAAGTAGTTTTTCTGTTTAACACATTGACGACAACGCGGGGGATATATATCCCGCGCATTGCAGGCCATGTCGGACCGTGCGGGATATATATCCCCCGCACCCATTACACTCATTTTTTTCGCGCACGCCTGATTCTTTTAGAAGTTTCTTGTATTCATTCCATGGAAGAGACCTTGACTTAGCTACAAGCATAGTGTCCCTTGGAAATGGTCATGTATACTTTGATTTAGAGGAGGATTTCTGAACCATACGAAATCTTCATTTCAATAAATTTTTCGTTTACTTTTTCTTTTTATTAATGTGAAGATTTAAATAGTAGTAGAAGTAGATAAGGAACCTTAGGGATGACAATATGTGTGTTTTGATTGGAATAATCAACGTAAAATTGCTTTTGAGGTCCATTGCAGCTAGTTCTGAAAAATTTCGCTTTTCATTGTCATTTCATGTCATTCGATGGAAATTCCACTACTTCTGCTACCCCTGGTTAGGTTGCGATCATTACAATTTTACTGATATGGTTTTGATTGATCATTAGTTGTAAATAGTGATCAAATCAACTTTACTTGAACGCGACATGAGGCGAGGACGCGCCAAGCCCGCAAAATCGCCGGCGGTCAACAACGTGGGCCAAAAAAAAAGGCCAAAAACTCGCATTGTCTGTCATGTTATTCCAGGATGCCTTTTTTGAAGATCGTATGCCGCCAGAGACTAGTCAAGTAATGTAAGAGCAAATTTGTGCGACACTCATACTGCAACACCCTATCGCATAAAACAAGCACATTTATCGGGAGGTTTCCCGGAATGCGTTTCATCGGAGTGAATAAAAAAAGGCTGCCTCTGATTTGAAAGTCTCCTAAATGGGATAGGAGCAGCAAAACTAACTACAGGATAATGGACTTATAAAAATTACCACTACATCGGAACAATGCAGTTTGTAGGCTAACTGAAGAGAGAATACCTGCATGAGTCAAACAGTTGAGACAAACCTTGCTCTGCGCTGCATGATGCTCAAGATCAGGACGAGACGGTAGTAGTTGCGTACCCTCTTTAGGGTATTCGGCTATCATCTCTTCCTTCAACGTAAAGGATTTGTAAATTTTCAACCTGAACGCAGCTCACAATAAAAACTTACCTTTCGTTGTTGTGCATTGCACACTCCACCATAGGGGAATGGATTCTCCTTGGAAGCATCCCAGTAGAACATCATATAGAAATTGCACATCTCATTTACTCCCATACTCCTACAAAAATAACATATCACACACTGCCGCGATTTTCCCGACTAGCTAGCGAATTGATACAACTTCGGGCAAAGACATATATTGATACAAATCCATTTACGAAGTAGAAAAGTAGGTTTTCAGGCCATTCAGATGTTTCTCCTTGACTGGCCGAGGAAATTTCCGTTGCGTTTGAAGATAATCAGCAATGTTTGAAAAAGAAATGAACTAAGCTCCAACAGTTCCCGCTTCTTTTGGAATCCATTGTATAGATGAGTCTCAGCATGAAGATTCCTTTTTTGAAATAAAAGAATTGCATTGCCAATAGGTTACGCAGCGAAAATCAGCAGTATCAGCTGAAGCAGCAAAGGCTGAGAAGAGAATTGAAGCTGAAGCTTGGCCCTCTGCGAAATCAGGATGACCTAGCCTCCGACGTTCCTGGATGGAAGAATCACTTCATAGCGAAGGACAATGGTGAAGGTCGTCCGCGCTTCTAATCAGATCCTTTCGGCAACCGTGTCCACCTCCTCAATTGTCATCTAAAGCAGGATAGAACCGTCGTTCCCTCACTTTTCCTTGACAAAATCTAACACACCATTTCGTCGGTGAAGGATTGCACACCATCCGGTCCTTAACCTCAGAATAGAGCGTTGGTTCCACTCACACTACGCGTTTCATGTCGGACAGCAAGGTGCCCACCCCACGAGAAATCAGAAATATGTTGTTATACAAAGGAGGAAACTGCATGGCATTGGCAATTATGGCCCAACGTGCCCGCTGTCTGAAGTTCACAGACTCCACATGAATCATCCTTGACAGGATTGACAAAATAAGACCAGCCATGCGAGCAACCAGTTCCGAAGAGGCTTCAGCACAATTCAAAAACACACAACGACCAGCATGTACCAATCGACATGAAGAGAAGGGCTCAAAAAGACTACGCCATCGTGTCATTCAGCCGGCTCTCTCGAGAATGTCATGCGTTCAATGGAACGAGAAGACATGGACAGACACCAGACATAATAACAGCTTTCCAATTAGCAGCTATGAGACAATGATACCGGAAATACAACGCGAATGGTTACCACAGGGCTACGTAAAAAGGTGCACAGGTAGACAAAATACTTTCTAGATTTACATTCTAAGCTAACCATGAGATAACATGCAAGCTTCCTTGTGAATTATGATTACGTGAAAAATCAGATCACTCAGCTGTTTCTCCTGGCCGAAGCGCGAGAAAGGTGAAGCGTGTACGAAATTCTTTCTGTTTTACCTTATTATTGCACGCATTTATATATTTAATCGTCGCGCTACCTCGCGGATTACTATTATTTACCACTGCCTGATCCCTGGTTTTGAAAAGGATGATTCTCCATCATGAATGTCCGTAGAAAGGAGCACCGACCGTGGATGGAAGGTTCCGACAGTGTAAACACTTGCGAACTGACACCCCGGTAGCGCACGCTCTTATCCAATACTTCGACCCATAGTGCAAACAACTACACACTTCTTATATAAAATTCGTCAAACACTTCTTTTAAAAGGTTTATCGGCCTAAAACAAAAAGAACTGATGGCAG